TTTCTTTCCCTAAGCTAATCCTACTTGCGATGGATTCTCCTAGATGAAAAGGACGTCACACAGAATTTCCAGGTGTCAATCTAGCCCAATTATCAGGTTGCATTCATCAACCAATTCTATTAATTGTTTCAGATGCTACATCTAAATCCTTGATCTATACGGAAATTTTCTTGTTTTGTAAACTTCATCAACCCGACACAAGAATGACAGAGCAATCTTGAATAGGGTGAGCAGGCCTGCTTTAAAATATAGTTTTACCGTTTTCCTCCTTACCAATGCAACTACCATTTTTGGGGCAAGTGACTTTACTATGTTGCCATCTACTCAGAGCACCCTTTTTTGACACGTGTACAGTCTTTGTCGTGTTTGTAATCATCTTTGTGTGTTTGCATCAGAACTAATGTATGTCAAGCTGACGTGTTTTCGGCGTGGTTAGCATATTGACAGAGAGAGAGAAGAGTTTCATCATTAGTATTTTTAGCTGTCTTTGATTTTTCATCACATATTTTTTTAGATTTTGATGTGATTTTTTAAATGAACGCATTAGACGCCATATTAAACACGCATTTGTGTCAAGTATCAAGAGCCTAAGATTGCCAAGAGTGTTGACACCCGCCTACCTTTCCCATATTATAAGAACCCAAAAGAAACCATTATATGGTGGTTGCCCGCTTTCAATGAAGCTAAATCTATAAACATTCTTAGAACATTGTGATGAGGGATGTGATTGAGCAAATGAGAGAGGATTACTGTGAATGCAAGGATTTTGTCTGTTAAAATATATGCGAATTTTGTCTGTTAAAATTAAGTTTTGTCGTGTGGGCTTAGAGAAGAGATATTGTTTCAGAAATTTGGGCATCTTTTGGAACATAAGGCTATAAGAGTATTCTATTATGTTTTCAATATTTTTTAGATGGTTTTAGAACAACTTTTTGGGGGAGATAAAGAAGAAGAAAGTACGATTGGATGGGTGTATGTTTTGTATTTGTTTTTGTAGTGGATTCCATGATTACTAGCTTATGAATGAAAAATCATTTTATTGCATCAACCACCATTTGTGGAAGAGGAGGGAAAAAAAGGTAAAGAATCAACGACAGAAGTAGAAGAAGATTCGCTATTTTAGATCAAAATAGACTCCCCATTTCAAAATCAAAGCTAAAAAATTCCATGCTCACAATCAAATTGAAACCAAACCATTTTGAATATCATGATAAAACTCATTCGCAAACATAAAAAGAAAAACAATGCTCAGAGTTTATGCCCGCAAGGTTCAATCTTAGGTAGAGAGGTCCAATATGCTGCAAAGAGGAGAGGCCCAATCTATAGTGGATATGGGAGTCTCGGCCTACGGCGAAGAAGATTTTATTTTTTTGTAAAGTGCGACGAAGAAGATTGTCATTCGTCGTCAAAATATTATCATTTAAATTACGATATTAAAATAACCGTTGCCCAAATTGTTTGCCTATAACACACCCATACCCAGGGACCGAACCAGGAAAAAAAACATATATTAGGGAGCAAAAATTTATAACATGAGGCCATCCCTAATCAGTGCTTCTTAGAAAATTTTGTTTTTTTTTCTTATTATTTAAATATTCTGAAGTCGATGACATGTATAAAAACTTTTCTTATATATAATAAAATATAATCAATTGAGACGAAATTTTGTAAATACATAATTATTTCGAATAAATTTACTTTTTCTTTATTTTTTATCGTTTGACTAGAGCAAGATATTTCTTTTATTCCTTCAGGAACCGATTATTATCAATAATTTTTTTATATTTTTGTATTAAATGATTAAAAGGGAAAACCAACCCACTAAAATTTAAAAAGTGTATATATATATAAGAAGGAAAACAAAGAAATTGTATTTAACTTTTGATATAAAAAAATATTATAAGATAATGGTATTGTATAAATAATAGAATGTTTTTGAAAAAACATATTTTATTCTTTATTATAATTTACTAAATTTTTCATCGGTGCAAAGTATTGTCATAACCTTTTTTTAATGTAATTGTCTCAAATGAAACACTTAAATCCATCATATCAAAAGTCACTCTAAATGCAAGATTTTTCCTCTTTATCTTCACTAAATGATCAATAAAACATCATATCAATTTCTTAAAGGAACCATACTACGCATTGACCTTTCAAACCATCACATACAAAGACAACCTATCTCATTCTCTTACACAAATACACCTTTCAACAATATTATTAATAAAAAAAAAATCTAATTACTTTTTAACACAAAAATAAACTTTTCAACTTCCTTACCAACTTGCACAAGTAGTGAAATTATGATTTGTGCTTTAAATAAGTGTTTCTATGAGTGAATATCTCATTTATGTAACATTATCGATGTTGACACACTAGAATTACAAAGCCAACAACATTTATAATTAGAACTTCAAATAAAGTAAAAAAATATTTTAGACCAACCTGATTTGTATTACTTTTGAATTGCTATTTTTTTATTCAATTTGACTCATCAAACCATCGGTCCAAATTGACCTTAATAAAAAAGTGAATTGGAAATTAAATATATATATATATA